ACACTGGACCAGCTCTATACCCTCTACAGGGTACTCGAGGGTTCATGGGAGTTTGCCCAACCGGTCCACATGTGTTTTGTGGACCTGGAGAAAGCATTTGACTGTGTCCCTTGTGATGCCCTGTGGGGGGTGCTCCAGGAGTATGGAATCGGGGGCCCTTTATTAGGGGCCCCTGAGTTTGTCCCTATTAGCTCTGCATCTACATACTAATTTCCCCCAAAAGTACATGCAACTGTAATTGCGGTAAACATTGATTTTACAGAGTTTTGACTCAGGGGACGTGAATACAAATCCATGTCACATTTTCTGATTTTTATTTGTGATAATTGTTGAAAACCTCAGACAATTTCCCTTCCTTTTCAAAATGATGCACTACTTTAGGTTGGTTCTAATGACGCGTAATATGAAAAGGGCATGAGTGCTTTTTCAAGGCACTGTATCTACTCGGTTAACTTAGAACATAAATAAATTCAATTAATACTGGTCTCACAGTAGATAATTAATAACTTGCATTTTCATTAGTTATAACTGGGCTGCTCTAAATGGACTACATGGGGAATGGTTTAGAATGCTATTCCTGACATAACTGAGCAGATTCAGCATCCAGTGATGTTTTCATCCCTGGGCACTCTTTACACAGACACACAAAAGTGTGTATGTGCAGTTAGGCTCAGGGCACAGCATGTGGTCAGAAAAACTGAAATATCGGCTCTGACCCCTGCTGTGCTCATCAATCCTACTTCGTCAGACTCTGCAAAGCTCAGGATCGGTACAGTAATGGTATCACTTCTCCGGCTCCATGTGCAGGCTTCCCTTTAGTAGATGGACACACACCCAAACTTTGCATAAAATAATACTTCGATTCTGGTTCAAATTCTCAGCAGTTCACTTAACAACAGTCTTAGAACTCAGTGGGTGCTCACCTGACCTTACAATAGTATTGAAAGATCAGGTACAGCCACACATACGGATTGATCTTCATTCTTCTGTCACTTAGGTTTTGTGTTTTTACCCTTACAGTAATATTTTTGATTTTTGAGACTTTTATTTTGATGAAATAATGTTGCATATTGATAAAACAACCAACAACAACCGATTAAGACTTTTCTTAAGATGTAAAACCAATAGTGCTGGTATTGGCTTGTAAAAGAATATACCACTGAGAAAGTACATTCCTAATTCCAAACAATTGAATAGACGTACCTAATAAAGTGGCTGATGAGTGTAATTCATATGCTATTTTTAACACGTCACCATACAAAATCGTCACTCGTGTAAATTAAAGTCAGTGTTGTGCCGATAGGCTCTGCACAATATTAACGGAATATTTAATCAGTATATTGTTAAGATTAAAGCAAGGGGAAGCACATTACTAAAAAATAGGCCCCAACAATCATTGACTTGTGTGCCTAGCAGCCTGAACTGTGCCCACACTCATACACAGCAGTTACTAATCTCTTGCCTTTGAAATAAAATCTCACAGTTTTTATCTACATGAAGAAGTTAAACTTTTCACTGAAGGTTTCTTAGGTTACAGCTTTCATTATCTCCCAAATAAAATTTAATGAGAGAGCTGCACTGAGATGAAATTCATCATTTCAACATTTAGGTTAACTTGAAGTTATCCAAAATGTTACTGCTGCTCAAATGAATAATGGTAAATGGGCTGAATTATTATAACTTTTCCATACATACCGACCACTCAAAGCACTTTACACTACAGCCACATTCACCCAGTTACACTGATTCATACACCAACACGTAGGCAACCTGAGGCACTTCGACAATTGAAAGGAGATAGCTGGAATCAAACCCACAACTATCCGATTGCAAAACGACTACTCTTCCCACTGAACCACAGTTACCTCTACAACATGTGGTGAAATGAGCAGCAAAGGAATGTTTGAGCATAACACTGACCATATGTTTATGGTCCTAAGCTTGCATAGTTTAGGTGGCAAAATTCTGAAAACATGAAACCTAAGTTAATACACATCTTAACACTGGAGATGGAGTGTTCTCACTGTTTATCATTAATCCCTGATTGTTCAAAAGAAACTTGACATTTATTTAGAATGACAAAGAGCAAACACTTTTTTCAGTAAAGTGAAGCATATGATCCTTCTCCTTTGGGAGAATGACCTCAAGGAAAACAGTTTTAGTAAAAATAACAGTTGTTTGACTTTAGTGCTGACTGCCATGGCATCTGCTGACATCACTTGCTCCAACACAATTTTATGTTTGTTTTTCATCTTTTTTTCTATCCTCTGCCATCTTCTTGCCCTCTCTTTCTCCTCACAAGCCAGCTCTGTAAATAAATCACTTTGAAGAAATACAAAGCTGTTCATTCCCATTTTACACACCATTTTGGTCTATCTTTCAAAAATATGGGTTTCCTCTTTCCTGGCAGAGTGTTTAGCTTGCTGTGGCAAAAGTATAGCTCATCTGTGGCAAGTGAGTTGCTTGATTTTGGAATGCTGCAACTTGAATCATATTCTGGCTTGTGAGCATGCCTGTGTCTGTCCATTGTGACAGACATTTCACAAGAAAGTGCATTTAACAATTATTCCAACTGATAATAAATGCACAATTGTAATTAATGTTTTTAATAAAAGTAGAGTATAAAATATAGCTCCTCTTAGGAGAAAGTAAACCATCGAAATAGGTATGTTATAGTTGGTGTTGTGCAGACAAATCATACAACTGGTTTACCTAACCATTGCCAGTGCATCCCTTAATCTAACCTAAACTCAGTTCACACCTTAGTCCTAAACTTAACCCCAAATCCAAGCACAGCACTATAAAAAGTGAGGACCAGGAAAATTTATTCTCTTTCCCAAAATGTCCTCACTTTGCTGGTGAAATGCGAAGAATGGTTCTCACTCAGCAGCTAGTACAAGAACACCCCCACCCCACTCTGGGCACACCTTTTTATCCTAAATGTCCGGTTAAAATTTTCCAAACCTTCAACTTATGCAATCCCTACTGGTAGACAAATAAGCAACTATTCACATAAAAAATAAATGTATATAGAGGCTTGAAAACCTAAGTATCAGTATCTCAAGCTGTTCCAAGGGCTGCTCTCTTCTGGACTGAGATCTCAGAGATTGTTCCTAGAATCTGCTAAAGCCACTCTTCCAGTTTGGAGGTTGCAGGTCAAAGTGCTCCAATGACCACTGGCACCACTGAGGCTTTCATTTTCCTTTAATAACTTTTCTATTTTTTCTTTAATCCCTTGGATTTTCTCAGCCTTCTCATTTTGCTTTTGTGGGAACTCATGATCTTACCTTGTCTTTGAATGTGGCGCTGAAAGTCTTCTCCTGCAAAATTGACCTAACTGCTCTGTATGGACATGTATACATATACAGTGCTTTGTAAAAGTATTAATACATCTTGAATATTTTCCAATCTTGTTACATTACAAATTCAAACCTGAATGTATTTTATTGGGATTTATTAGGTGAAAGGTTTAGGGTTACCACCTTTGCTTGCAATTATAGCTTCAAGTCTTTTGGGGTCTGTCTCTACTAGTTTTGAACATTTAGAAAATAAAATGTTCTTTGCAACTAATTCAAACTCTGTCAAATTGGATGGAGAACATCAACACAATTGGATTTAGGTCCGTTCTAACACTTTTTCTTCCATCTGTCCTGTCACGGCATTTTAGGTACACCACAATGTAGAACCTGTTTGCCGAAATGTGCCATCTTTGCTCCACAAAATGGATATCTGGAGATGGTTTCCTAATCACCTGGTGTAGCATCTTGCTACATCTATGACCCCGTTTACAATTGGTACTAACATCTGTCCTCAGCGATCAGATCTCATCCAAACGAACTGAAATACAGTCAGTAAATCAATCAAATTAACTTTATTTATAGAGCCTTTACATGAAGTCAAGTGAAACGCAAAGCACTTTACAGAGGTTAAAAAGATGAAGAAATACAGGTGTGAACACAGTCAAAATTCTTCGAGGACGATTTCCCTCAGACACTTGTGAATGGATAGGGCTAGGACCTAAAATACATGGCTGGGAATAGAATAATGTACATTGTAAGAAAATTATGTGTACAGGTTACAATATTATCTGCACTGGTCTCAGTTCCTGTCATTTTACATCATTTGCTACCCTACACAAAGCAAACCCTTAGATACGTTGCAATGTTACAATTTCTAAGACTGTATTTTTGTATTACCCTATTTCAGTGATATTGATAAATGTACCTATTACTGTCACATTTTCTGGTGGGGCAGTTCTCAAGGTTTTTCTTTAAATGTTATAAAATTTATACCACATGTCCTTATCTTTGTTCAGCTTAGATAATGAAAGCTCCCGACTTACCATGGCCTTTCCAAATGGAGCCGTATTGTCAGACCTTTTAGGTGAAATATAGTTCAGCAGCAATGGGACTGCATTCACTGATGCATAATTCATTCCTTTTTAAATCATAAAACATATGTTTTTCAAGCCATCATGAAGGTGACAGTATGAATATTTCACGCCTTGGCCTCATCGAGCTTGCACTACGATCACAACAGCCCCATTTAAGACCTTACTTTGAAGATTAGTTCCACCGTACATATGGCTCTAACCATTCTGTGTGCTTTACTACCTCTTTGCGATGTCGTATAGCATTAAAGTTTAAAGCCCTTCCTGGACCCAGGTGATGGCTTATCACTCTCATAGAGGGACAACACTTGAACAAGCTGAAGCATGATCTCTGTCTCAGCAAAGCTATTACATGGCCCAATGAGTCTAAGCATAGCCATGCTGCAGCTGGATAAGCAGGTGTATATACAGTCAGTGTTGATGCATATGTTTGCAGGTTTCATATGTATGTGTGTGTGTGTGTGTGTGTGTGTGTGTGTGTGTGTGTGTGTGTTGCATATTTATCCATGCAGGGTTTATTATTCCTAAAAGCAGAATCTTTTCTGCAGGCTTACATTCAGTTGAATTTGCAAACCACACACTCCAAGTCCTGGATGTATGTGCAGCAGTGCTTTTCAACCCTGGTCCTCAAGGCACACTGCTCTGCATGTTTTACATGTTTCTCTGCCTTAACACACCTGATTCAGATGGTTGCAGCTCAGCAAAAGCCTATTAATCAGCCATCAATTGAAATCAGGTGTGCTGAAGCAGGGAAACTGTCAGGATCTGCCATTTTGTTGTTTGTTTTTATTTACTTTGCCGTTAAAGGTTTTCCCTGTTCCTTTGATTAGTAGTTTACTTGGTTTAGTTAATATTTGCTTAGATTCTTGTGCTTGTTTACATGTCCTTAGTTTTAGTTCTTTCTAGAGTTACTATTTATGTTTAGCTTATGTTTAATGTTTCTATTGGTTTAACAGCTGTGTTTATTGAGATATCATGCCTGTGAAGCCTATGACTTTGTAAGTGCTTATCATTGAGCCTGAATAAAAGAGATCTGTTTTCAATATGCTGAGCCCAAGCGACTGTTTGCATCTTGGTTCAAAACAACCTCAGACCTGAACTTACCCAAATAATATTTATATGCCAAACATTCCAGTTCTTGGTTATGTCATGATCCTAGGTGTTGTGAGTCTTAGGTCTTTTTGAGTCTGTATTTTTGACCATTTCCTTGCTGTTTATGTTCTCTAGGTCTTGTTAATTTCCCTGTGGTCTTTGTGAGATAGGGGTTCCCATATTTATTCATGATTTTGGGTCCAGTTTCTTAGTTTATTCTTTTGTGCTGTTTTTTGTACAGTTAGTATTATTTCTGTTACATCTCTGTTTATCATTTCCCCTTGACTGATAACTGTGTCTCTGCTCAGCTCGGTATCTGGTTTATTAGCCTCCCTCCTTCAGCTGCTCTGCCTTTCTCTATTTCTCAGGTGCAACTCATTTCCTCTGATTAGTTTTTCTGGATTGCCTGTTACTACTCCACCCTGCCTCAATATATAGAATCTCTAGTTGTCATTGCTTTCTACTGGATCCTTCTGTTAATATTCCCGTTTTATCTCACTCCACGCTCTGATCTCTTTGTGCCTGCTTGTAAGGGTTTGTATTTTATTATTATTAGACCATTCCAACTCACCATGCTGCTTCCACAGTCCTGTCTAAATTTTGATCCAGCATCTACTTCACTTATCGTGTAAGGTTATGGGTTGAAGACATAAAGAAAAGCACATCATAAAACATGTATTATTGCTGCCCTGATTTACTTTTTCTTGTGCCTTTTTATACTGAAATACATCTGAGAGTGTAGTGGTCTCTTACTTGAAGCTATCCAGTAAGATAATCATTTAAAAAGGTCCTTTTGGAGGAAGGATATATTTTATTTTTTCACCGCAGCCAGGTACCAATTGGTCAGCCACCAGGTGGTTGGTGATCCCTGCACCAAGCAGTTTATGAGTTCCCTTAAGTGGTCAATTAGTTGTTAGCTGCATTAATCAGAAAAAGCATTGAAATGCCAAGCCATAGAGCCAAATTTCAAGAATTTGGCATGCTGAGGTGGGTGCATATAAGAGACTAAATGGACATCCTTCAATCAAACGAGGTGTGAAAATTTTGACAGGTGGGCGGGACTTCCGGTGGCGGGACATCTTAGGGCGGGACTTCCGGTGGCGTAACCGGATATCGTCATTAACCAGATGTTGTCATCACAAGGGGGCGAATCTTTCTAATTGTATGTTTTTTTAGATGTTTTTACATCAAAAAAAAAAAACTTAGTTTTACCACTTTAAAGGTACACTCAGGTTAATGTAGGCACGTCACACGAAATTCTGATAAAAAGAGAACCTGACAGAATTGTAAATTCATTTTGTTTTAGCGCAGGGGTCATTTAGATGGATGATTTTACATCTAAAAAAACAAGGAAGACAAAGTAGATACAGAACCTTTCTTCCTCTGC